CTGGGGCCCAGGGAAGGGACCTAGGGGCAGGCCTCCTTGGGTATGACCCCAGACACTCACCTCTGGTCCGGATGGGAGCTCTCTCTATCATCTTCTTAAAGTCATTTTTATGATTGATTTCTTCTGCTTCTTCTGGGTTGGCGTGTTCAGGTCTTGCAGGTGTAGAATTGCTAGGTTCTGATGGTGTCATAAAAGTCTTTATGTTGTTGCCTGTATTTTTGCACTGGCATCTACTCATCTCTTCCTCTGCTCCACACAGGTGGTGTCTGTGTTTGAGGTTGCCTCTCTTATTCCAGTAGATAGTCTTGGTCCATTGGGAGTTCTTGGTGGAATCGGTGTTGTTGGGCTGTTTCTCCAGGAGCAGCTTAGTCCAATCAGTGTTAGTGGGTTCTGTCTCAGGGAGCAGTTGTTCCCAACTGGTGCTGGGTGGGCTTATGGCTCTGGTGGTTGTTGATGTCACATGGGATAATTTTCTTGGCAAGGGGGTAGGGAAAGAGGCCACTGTATGGTCTCTGGGGCTCCAATGGTTGTTCCCAGTTGGTGCAGGGTGGGCTTATGAGTCCAGTGGTTGTTGGGTTTGTAGGGGCTGGGGTTTTTTTTGGTGAAAGAGCAGGAAAAGGTAGCTGCCTGGTCCCTGGAATTCCGATGGATAGGGCCTAGGGGTTAGAGACCTGGTCTACTGGTCCAGAGATGGGGCCTTACCTGTTCCCAGTCAGTGTAGGGTAGGCTTATGGTTCTGGTGATCTAGTTCGGTGGCTGGACGGCTCCTTCTCTTGCGTTCTCGGTCGTGCTTTGCTTGCTCACCAACTCCTCAGCTGACCTTGTTTCCTCAGACTGCAGGTTGCAGGCTTCTGAAACCACTCCCGAAAGGATCTCAGCTGAACAGTTGATCAGTAGGGCAATCTCACCAACGCCTCCAAGTTGTTGGGCTTCCTAGGATCGGAGGATGGGCCCTGGGTCGGCCTAGGAGAGAATGTTGGGGTCCATTCTGGTCAAATCCCACAGCGACAGAGCCTTCCTCCAGTGCTCTTCTTTTTACTTTTTAGCCTTAATTGTAAGGTTTTAGATTCCTCAACCTCAAAAAAGTCATTTTCTTTATTTTTTAAAATAATTATTGTATATGTGTTTGTTTTCCCGGATATACATGCATGTGCACCACAGGCATTCCCAAGGAGATTAGGAGAGGGTGTCAGGTCTCAGATTACCTGAAACTGGAGTTATGGATGGTTGAGAAACACCATGTGGGGGTTGGGAAGTCCTCTAAAAAACCAAGTCATCTCGCTAGCATCCAGTGTTTCTTTTTCTCTACTCCGTTTTTGTTTTTATGAGACAGGGTCTTGGTAGAATAGATCAGGCTAGCCCAGATCATGGCAGCAATCTTCTCACTTCAGACTTCAGCGTGTCTGAATAAGAAGAGTAAGCTACCACATGCAATCAGTTTCTAATCCGCTTTCCAGGCTGAGCTAAGAAAGACATTGATTTTACTGTTGAACACTGAATGAGAATGAAAGCCTCATCTATCCTGTCATTAGAAGTACCCGGAATCCTAAACTCAATATCCAGTAGGACATCCTCCAGCTTCCTTCCACACCTGTGTTTACATTTTTTTCTGTCATCTCTAGACTTCTGCATGTTCATCTGTGAATCAAGCAGGAGAAAGCTGTAAGCTTCTAGGTGTTCATGGATGTGACAAGTCACACTGAGGATGGTCTACCCATTCTCTGTCCTCTGATCCCCAGATAAATGTATTAGGGTACACAATATATTGGGGTACACAATATTTCACCACATGGACAAGGCCATGACAAGTCACACTGAGGAAGGCCTACCTGTTCTCTGTCCTCATGCTAGATTTCTAAGTCCTAGCACGAATCCTGTCTAGGGAAGGTGTGGGGAATACAAATGAAGCTGGTGAAGAATCTATAGATTTTCAGAAATGGACGACTCACTGTGGGCTGGGAAGACATCTCAAAGAAAGCCTACTCTGAGCATGGATGACCTTTAGTCAAGGCTGACTACAAATTTTTCCACCTTGCTCTTTCCTCATTGTACTTTACACCAAATATTTTCTAGGATCAAATCTGACCCTGGAAAGCCAGTTCCTCCCTTCTGTACTCCCAGGCCTTCCTATCAGCAAATGTACTGTAAACCCTATGTGGTAAGCGGACAGAGTGCAATACCAACGGTTTCTGCGTCAAGAGTAAGAAGAATCTGGACCAAATCTTCAAATCTACCAGCTTAGCTAACTAAGTTGGTGAAGCTCTCAGGGAGTTTTCTCTGGGACTTGTCTCCTTCCTGATTGCTTCACCCCCAAGTTCTGACTGAGCGCTTAGATGACTTACTCCATCAGGCTGGGTCAACAGGGACCAGGAGCGAGGTGACACAACAACTTTCTGCTGGTCTTTAACGAGATGCTTGGGGAGTCTATACCCAGGGGGGCTGATGCTGCAGGAAATCCCGTCTAATTCTCCCAAACCTCCTTCCGACACAGAGGGCTAAGACAGTGATCATCCACTCTGCACTTTCTCAGAACCTTCCTACATTTCTGAGACTTTCCAATCCTCTGAAAAAGCGACACCGTTGCTCACCAACTCCAAAGTGAAGACAACAGAGCTCGCCTGTCCAGGTGTTTTCAGTCGAGATGAAAATGTTTCTTTTTCAGTCAGTCCTGCTCACTCTCACCTAGAGGAGCAGCAGCAGGAGTCACAGGCCCATCAGTTGGAGCGTGAGATCACTACAATAACTGGCAGCTTTTATTTTTGCTCAAGCTGATAAGGGGTGGGAGAGAGACTGGGAACGTTACCAGAGGTCCCCATGATTGCAGGGAAGGCTGGTGTATGTGAATGCTTTTATGTTATATTCAATACAACTATAAGGGTAAGCCTGGGCAACCAGCACCACGTGAAACTGGGATTTGTAAACTGAGTGTGTGGAAACAATGAGTGGATCTCAATTCAGAAACTTTAACACAGGCTTAAGAGACACGCGGTTGTAACATCCTAACCTGAAGACTGTGTTCTGACCTCTGTCTCCATTCTCTGTAGCTGGGCTCAGACCATGAGAGGCAGCAACCAGTCCAGCGTCTCCTCCTCCTGGGACTCTCCAGGCAGTCCCAGCAGCAACAGCAGCTCCTCTTCCTGCTCTTCCTCATCATGTACCTGGCCACTGTCCTGGGAAACCTGCTCATCATCCTGGCCATCGGCACAGACTCCCGCCTGCACACCCCCATGTACTTCTTCCTCAGCAACCTGTCCTTTGTGGATGTCTGCTTCTCCTCCACCACTGTCCCCAAGGTGCTGGCCATTCACATACTCAGGAATCAGGCCATTTCCTTCTCTGGGTGTCTCACACAGCTGTACTTTCTTTGTGTGTTTGCTGACATGGACAATTTCCTGCTGGCTGTGATGGCCTATGACCGGTATGTGGCCATATGCCACCCCTTACACTACACAACAAAGATGACCCATCAGCTCTGTGTCCTCATGGTGGTCGGGTCATGGGTGGTGGCCAGCCTGAACGCTCTGTTGCACACTCTGCTCATGGATAGACTCTCATTCTGTGCAGACAACATCATTCCAAACTTTTTCTGTGACTCTACTCACATTCTGAAACTCTCCTGCTCAGATACACACCTCAATGAGTTGATGATTCTTTTTGTTGCGGGGCTGTTATTGATTTCTCCGTTTGTTTGTATCCTCGTGTCTTATGTCCTTATTACTTGCGCTATCCTGAGAGTCTCATCCACAAGTGGAAGATGGAAAGCCTTCTCCACCTGCAGCTCCCACCTGGCTGTGGTCGGCCTCTTCTACGGCACCATCATATCCCTGTATTTCAACCCCGCCTCCTCCTCCTCTCACTCAGCTGGGAGTGACATGGGAGCTGCCATGATGTACACAGTGGTGACCCCCATGCTGAACCCTTTCATCTACAGCCTGAGGAACAAGGACATGAAAGGAGCTTTAAGGAAAGTGCTTACCATGAAATTCTCATCTACTCAGTAAGGCTAAAAAAGATCATATAAAGAAGTAATTTCTAAGAAGACCATATTTGTTCTACTGTGTGAAACTTAACTTTTGTTTTGTTAGGAAAGCATCTACTATCTTTCTTGGGAGAATAAAATCCGAGTTGTAGACTACATAGGAAAAGGTAGAAAGTGGCTTGGGATGCAGCTCAGTTGTAGTGTGTTTATCTGGCATGTAAGAGGCCCAAGTTTGATTCCGTCATGTCAAAATAAATATAAAACTTCTTAAATGTTTAAAATGTGTGTGTGTGTGTGTGTGTGTGTGTGTGCCACATGTGTATGGGTGTCCAAAGAGACAGAAGAGTGTTACAAGTGTATTTGAATCACCCAACATGGTTCCTGGAAACCAAATTTGGAACCTCTAGAAGAGCAGCAAGTGACAGCTGAGCTATGTCTCTTGCCCAATAAAAATGCTCCACTCAAATCACTTCATTCCAGTCATGAGTGCCCTCCTGACAAAGGGCACCACAAACATGCTTACACTTTATTCTTGATTAAAAGAGGAGAGAGTGCACACACTTGGGGAACAGTGAAGTGTCTCAGTTGGAAGCTGCTAAAAAGAAATTATGATAAGCTGAGTTTGCTTTGGGTGATGTTGGAAAAGAATTGGGGACTGACTGTGGCTTCAGATGGGATGCTGTTATTCAGGATGCTTGTGAGTGGCTCTCTTAGTGTATTTCATCTAGAAGAAAGGAATAGATAAAGCTTGAGCTCTGGCCAAGAAGCACTGGACATTCATTTCAATCATCTTGGAGCACTGGGTATGGTCATTTTGTGGTTAGGACTATATACACTGTTGTTTTTGGTTTTGTTTTTGTTTTGTTTTGTTTTGTTTTGTTTTGTTTTTGAGACAGGGTTTCTCTGTGTAGCTTTGCGCCTTTCCTTGAACTTACTTTGTAGACCAGGCTGGCCTTGAACTCACATAGATCCACCTGCTTCTGCCTTCTGAGTGCTGGGATTAAAGACATGCAAAACCACATCTGGCACAGGACAATATTCTTTATGTTCTCAGTGGTTCTTCCAGAATAACCTCTTGTGATGTTACAATCATAGAGACCTTACTTGCTACAGCTGTCCTATGAAATTCATTACTTTCATTGGCAAAACTCCAAACTGTGCCCACCCAGCTCCTGGGTGACCGCACTAAGCTTTCTTTCTCTCAACAGTCTTTGATGTGAGCACAACTGACAGGAAGACCCGACCCAGCAAGGTGATTACAGCTATTCATACTATTTCTTCCTGGGTAAGGATTGACATGTAACTGTCTTTAAAAGAACTCATCTGTTTCACCTATGTTTTACAGTTTGTGAGCAGGTATGTTCATAGAACTCCTTTATCACTCTTTTAAAATTTGAGATTTATATTTAAGTATATGGTGTTTGGCCTGTATGTAGGTCTGTGTATTTTGTGTGTGCAGTTCCTGAGGAGACCAGACGAGGGCACTGGGTCCTCTGGAACTGGAGTTACAGGGGTTAGCTGATATGTGGGGACTGGGAACCAAACTTGGTCCTCTGAAATACCAGCCATTCTTTTAACCACAGAGCCATCTCCCCAGCTCCCTTTTATCATTCTCTTAATGTAGAGAGGGCTAGTAATGCTTCCTCAGTGATTTCTGATACCTGTGTTTCAGGTTTATGTGCTACAAGTGTGGTTGCTCTTGGGAAGTGATGGGACTTTTGGGGGTAAGGCTTAGTGCAAAGAAGCCAGGTCATAAACAGATACTTAAGGGGACATAGGACTTTTTGTTTTCTTTTTACAAGACAGAGTTTCTCTGTGTATCTTTGCAGCCTGTCCTAGGACTCGATCCGTAGACCAGGCTAGCCTCAAACTCACTGAGAACTGCCTGCCTCTGCCTCCCAAGTGCGGGAATTAAAGGCCTGCGCTGTCACCGCCCGGTTCTATTAGTACTTCTAACATCTCCTGTGTCTGCCTTTGCTGGCAGGACCCCATGAGGTAAATAGACCCCCTTGAGCCCACACTCCCTTCTTGATATAGGGAGCTTCCACAGATCCAAAACAAGAGGTCAACAAGTATGGATGGAGAGCTCAGAGATGGAGTCAAAATAAACCTTCCCTTTTAGTTTTCTCAGGCCTCGTTACCGAAATGGAAAGCTAAAAGCCATTCCTCAGATCCTGCTCAGATGTGCATGAGAGGGCAGAGCCGTCCCTGCTGCCCCTCTCTTCATCTTGCCCACATTAGAACACTAAATTTTATTTGCATCTTTGCCATGTTTTACATGACATTTTTTCCCCTTGACCCATTTATTTAGAAGTGTCCTTTAATCTCAAAGTATTTGGGATTCATAATTCTTTGTGAAACTTTTCTGACAGAGGCAGGACCTTTCCTAACCTCATTTCTGCTCCTAGGTTTTAGAGGCCAAGTGAGTTCTCTTGTGCCACTTATGGGCTGACACCAGCCCAATCTTCCACTTTTTTTTTTTTTTTTAAACAACTGTATGGTTCTCAGCCTCATGACTCTGCAGATGAAGCATGAATTCTTCATTTTGTAGAAGGTTTTCCCACATTCTAGACACTTAAATATTATCTCCCTTACATGAATTCCTTCATGGCAACTCTGCTGAAAGTTTTTCCCACACTGAGAACAGGAACAGGGTTTCTGCCCTGTATGGATTCACTTGTGCTTATTAACGTTTGTTTTATGATTGAATCCTTTCCCACAGTGGCTACAGTCAGAGCTTCTCACCAGTGTGAATCCTCTGGTGGGAAATAAGGTAAGACCTTTCATGAAACTGCTTCCCACACAGGACATGTGGACAATGTCTTTGTTTTCTCATCTTGAGAAAGTGCAGTAATATTAATGTCCACAGATTTCAAGAGATCTTCCAGGAGAACATTATTTTCAATTGTAACTAGAAGGCTTCTAAATTTCTTCTGATGTGGAATGAGAATGTTTATTCTTTCTTCTTGGCAAGCTGGAGGTCGCTCAGAAACCCAGGAATAACCCATTGCATCAATATTTGAAGCTTTCTCTTTACAATCTTGGTTCTGAAGATCTTCATCCCTGAGATCACTCTCACTGCCTGCTGAAATGGAAAACGTTACACTGTTGTGTCGTGACAACACTGGCCAGGAAAAGCCAGGTTTCTTATGAAACAACTAGCTTGATGAGCCATAATGATGGATGCCTGTCATCCCACATAGGCAAGAGGAATGCTGTTAAGTTCAAGTCCAGCCTGGTATACATAATGAGGCCCACCCAGTCAGGGTCAGACAGTAAGACTTTGTCTTGAAAAAAACAACAAACAATAAAAGTGGCTGGATATGGAGACACTAGCCTTTAATCCCAGCACTTGCAACAGAGAGGCAAGGAGATCTATTAATTTGAGGCCAGTCTGCTATATATAGCAAGTTCCAGGCCAGCCAGGGCTACATAATTATGAGAGTCTGCAAATAAATTTAAAAAAACCAAAGCAATAAAATAAAATAAACACATTCTTAAAGTCAGAAATCTGAGTGAGGACTAGCAGATAATCACTCTTTTTCAGTTCTTACTGAGCATGGGATAATGAGTAATAAATCTTCGTACCCCCACAGGACAAGAACACAAGCCTCTTTACTTCTAAAAAAAAATGAGTGGGATTGCACTGAAAGATTTCCTGTTGTTCTGCAACAGGAACAGCTTACAAATAAGCTCTTGTGGACTTTCTCTGTAGAGAACTACCTAAGTACCAGGAGCTGAAGGACACCACTCATAATCACCAGGAGTCCAGTAATGAGGTAATCGTAAGACAAACTGCTTCCAGACCTGCACTATGTACTGCAAGGGTACAGCACTGGGCAACACTACAGTATTCTAGTTGAGGCAAACCTAGAAACAATTCAAATGGGCACAGCACATTCACATATGTATTTGGCCAACTAAAGAGATTTCTGCCGGGCGGTGGTGGCGCACGCCTTTAATCCCAGCACTCGGGAGGCAGAGCCAGGCGGATCTCTGTGAGTTCGAGGCCAGCCTGGGCTACCAAGTGAGTCCCAGGAAAGGCACAAAGCTACACAGAGAAACCCTGTCTCGAAAAACCAAAAAAAAAAAAAAAAAAAAAAGAGAGATTTCTATCATAGATACAATAAAATTATTGCATTAATAGTCAACAGTGTGTTTTCTCAACAAGAGTAATGACCAGATTGGGATGTTAGATAATCCCAGAGGTGCTCAGTACAGAAATTTTGAATAATAATTAATTAAATAAATACATTTTGTGAAAACTTTAGCTTTTATTTATTTATTTGTTTGTTTGTTTGTTTTGGTTTTTTTGAGACAGGGTTTCTCTGTGTAGTTTTGGTGGCTTTCCTGGAACTTGCTCTGTAGACCAGGCTGACCTTGAACTCACAGAGATCCACCTGTCTCTGCCTCCCAAGTGCTAGGATTAAAGGTGTGCGCCACCACCGCCCGGCCTGAAAACTAGCTTTTTTAATATATAGGCTGTTCTGTATTTAGCTTACACTTCACAATAAAGTCTTGCCTAGGGAGATGGCTCAGTGGGTACAGGGTTTGGCAGGTAAGCATGAGGACCTGAACTTAAATGTCAGCACCTAAGTGAAGCCAAGAATGGTGTGGGCACCTGCAACCACAGAGCTGAGAGGCAGACATGATGCTCACTGGCCAGCCAGTCAAGCATGAACAGTAAGCAGCAGGTTTAAGGAGAGACTCTGCCTCAAAAAATAAGGTGGAGCTGGGCACAGTGGTTCACATTTTAATCCCAGCACCTGAAGGCAAAGGCAAATGGATCTTCAAATTTGTGGTCTATAAATTACCTGGTTAACCAGGGCTACACAGTAAGAGTCTGTTTCTAAAACAAACACAAAACCATCCCCTCCCTCCCTGAAAAAAAAAAAAAACCCAAAAAATGTATCTAGTGAATCTGTTTAGGTTTTTAAAGCATAAATCATACTTTGTTTCCCCCCTTTTCTAATATCTATTCCTCTTAATTCCATTTTCTTATCTTACTGCTGTATAAAATGTATTTAATAGGTTTAATAAATGTCAGATTTCTATTTTGTTTTCAATTTTAAGAAATTACCATCATTTTTTGTTTTTTTCCATCAATTCCTGAGTAAGTTTAAGTTAAGGGATTGAGGTTATAGCTCTGTTGCTAGAGTTGGCATTCACAATGTCCTGGGTTCGCTGCCCCAGCTCTCTCAACCTGGCATGGTGGGGCATGCCTATAATCCAGCACATAGGAGATATAGGAAATCAGCCTGTTCCAGGAGAAACGCCTTTTGATGACGTTGAGTCTTCATAGTTTAAAAAAAAAAGTTTCTTTCTATTCATTCAAATCAACTACTTTATCCTTTCCACATACCAGAAGTTTATTCCTAGACATTTAATCTTTCATGTCACTGTTTTAGTGAGGTTTCCACTGTCTGCCTGCATAGATGAAAGCTACTGTTTGTCAACTTGACAGCCATTACCTTAGTGAATGCTCTGTTCAGACATGCTGTACGGCTTTCCAGCTACAGTCTATCATACATCAACAGAGTTTTCTCTCAAATCCTAATGTATCTCATTTCTTACTCATGTGCCCTCAGTAGCTAGAATCTAAGAGAAGATGCTAAGTAGGAGAAGCGCTAGTGGGATTGTTCACTGTGGTCTCGGTCTTAATGGGATGTCTTCCATTAAAGAGGCATTTTAAGGGCTGATGCTAAAGGTCAGCTGGTAGGATGCCTGCCTAGTGTGAACAAAGTCCATCTGGGTTTAACCTCTAGCACACATAAACAGGGTGTGGGGGCACATGCCTATAATCCCAGCACTTAGGAGATAGAGGAAGGAGAATCAGAAGTTCTAGGCCAGCCTGGGATACACGAGATTTTTTTCTTTAAGGAGAAAAAAAAAGCATTTTAAAATCAGGAACTGGGAGCTGGAGAGATGGCTCAGCAGTTAAGAGCACTGGCTGCTCTTCTAGAGGACACTGGTTCAATGCCCAGCACCCACATGGCAGCTCACACCTGTCTGTAACTCCAGTTCCAGGGTACTCAACACCCCACACAGACATACATGCAGACAAAACACCAATGAACAGTAAATAAAAATAAATTATATAAAAAATAATCAGGAACTGTAGCTCAGTGATAGAATGCTTGTTGACTATGCACTGGGTTTGATCCCCAACACAGAAAAAAACCGCACGTTAACACTGGCTGAAGGGATTAAAAACTTATTACTAACTCACTGGCCCTTCTTATGAAGAAAGGAGTTAAATCTGATCATTTCAGTAACTATGAAAATGACCATAATATTTATTGTAAGATGTTAGTAAAATTCTGTTTTAAAAAATATATATTTTTATTTTATTTTATGTGTGTGGTGGTTTTAGGCTCATATATTTGAATGCTTAGTCACCAGAGAGTGACACTATTTGAAAGGATTATGAGGATTAGGAGTTATGGCCAGTGTGTCACTGGGGGTGGGCTTTGATTTCAAAAGTCTACACCAGGCCCAGACTCTTTGTCTCTGCTAGATGAGGATGTAACTCTTAGCTACTGCTCCGGTGCCTGCCTGGATGGCACCATACTCTCCACCATGATGAAAATGGACTCACCCTCTGAAACTGTAAGCAAGCGCCCAATTAAATGCTTTCTTTTATAAGAGTTGCTTTGGTCATGGTGTCTCTTCACAGCAATGGAACAGTGACTAAGACAATGTGCATGGGTATTTTGCTTACATGTATGTTTGTGTGTGCGCCATGTGCATGCCTGGTGCCCATGGAAGTCAGAAGAGGGAATCTGATCCCTTAGGACTTTAGTTATGGATGGTTGTGAGCCACCATGTGAGTGCTAGGAATCAAACCTGGGTCCTCTGCAAGAACAAGTGTTCTCACCTGCTAAGTCACTTCTCTAGCTCCCTTACTAGACTTTAAAAAAATTCAATGAGACAGGCGATGGTGGCACACGCCTTTAATCCCAGCACTTGGGAGGCAGAGGCAGGTGGATCTCTGTGATTTTAAGGCCAGCCTGGTCTACGTAGCGAGATCTAGGACAGCCAGAGCTACACACACAGAGAAACCCTATCTTGAAAAAACAGAAAAATACAAAAAAACAAATAAATAAATGAATTCAATGAAAGAGTTTCTTTTATTTTGATTCTATTAGTAGACTTTTTAGTAATTAGTAAACAGTAAATGAGACTATTAATTTTTTTTGCATTCTGGAGATAAATCTTTGATTCGCACATGGTAGAAAAATGGTACCATTGAAAAAAATAATAATTTTTCAGATTTCAGTGTTTTTTGTTGGGTTTTGGAGACAGGGTTTCTCTGTGTAGCCCTGGCTGTCCTAGAACTCACTCTGTAGACCAGGCTGGCCTCAAACTCTTAAAATTTGCCTGCCTCTGACTCCTGAGTGCTGGGACTAAAGGTGTGTGACACCATCACCCAGCCAGTTTTCAGTGTTTAATTACACTCACTTTGTAAAAAGCAATTTCTAAAGTTTCCTTCTTTTTTTCTATATTCTGGTGTGTGTGTGAGTGTGTGTATTCTTTGATTTGAATTATCTAAAATTTAATGATTTCAAAGAATTTTCTGTGAAACAGTTTGAGACTAAAAATATTTGCCCCACAGGTAGAAGCAAATCTTGCAGGAATTTAAATCCCCTTTATGGACGTTGTGTTACATGGTTTTAAATTTTGACTTAATAATTTCTTTTTTCTAAAACTAACACATGAATTTCTAGTTTTATATTGTCTGTTATTTTAATTTATCCTGCTTTCTTACATTTCAATCAGAAGTTTAATTACCATCATTTAAAAAAATTAATACGCCGGGCGGTGGTGGCGCACGCCTTTAATCCCAGCACTCGGGAGGCAGAGCCAGGCGGATCTCTGTGAGTTCGAGGCCAGCCTGGGCTACCAAGTGAGTTCCAGGAAAAGGCGCAAAGCTACACAGAGAAACCCTGTCTCGAAAAACCAAAAAAAAAAAAAAATAAAATAAATTGATACATATGAATTATATATTAAATAAAATGAACAGTTATGCATTTTCTTCTGAGAATAATTTTTGTTTTATTCTGTTTGACAGGGTCTCACTACGTAACCATGGCTGGCCTGAAACTTGCTATGTAGATTAGGCTAGCCTCCAATTCACAGAGATCTGCCCGCCTCTGCCTCCTGAGTGCTGTGATTACAGGCAACACACCTAGCCCTCATCATAAATGCACATGAGGTTCTTATAGTGTTCTCTAAAAAAGTTATTCAATTTGTATTTGTTTTTCCTCTTTTGGTCTAAAATTTTTTCAGGGGCTGGGGATGTAGTTCAGTTCAATTTCTAGCACCACATAAAGCAAGCATGCTAACACTTCCTTGTTCTCTCAGTACTCAGGTGAGAGGCAGGGGGATGAGGAGCTCAGGCTCATCCTTGCCAACACAGTGAGCTTGAGGCCTGCCTGGGCTACAGAGATCCCATCTCAGGGAAAAAAAACCTCCTTTTCTCTGTCATTTTGTTAAAGTGACACAACACTGACTGTCACTATCACACAGGGCTGGGACCTCTCCTGCTCTGTTCTTCCTTCTTTCTAATTCCCTGGTTAACAGAACAATCCGCCCCCCCCCCCCCCCATAACATTTCAGGTCAGATTGTCAAACTCCATTTAAAAAAAAAAATCTTACTGCTATCATCAAAGGAATTATACCAAATTAAAAATCAATTATTAAGTCTCATAAAAGTCCTCTGTTCCATTAGTGCCTCCAAGTATAGGGAAGATAGTCACCCGTAGCTGCAAGTCTGTGGTGAAACTCTATTAAATGAGACGGAAGAAAAACAAGACTGTGTACTTGTACTTTCTTAGGTGCGAGTACTGCCTTAACCACTCCAAAGACGAAAAACAGACTTGCAGGCTGAGCATGGTGACATGCACCTATAATGTTAGTACTTGGAAATAGAGATAGGAAAATTGTTCCAAGTTTTCTATCAGTCTGTTCTATCTAGTGAATTCCAAACAAGCCAGGGCTACAAAATGAGACCCAGCTCTCGCTAGAGCACACACTCTGAACACAAAGCATTTCTTACCCAGTGACATCATCTCCCCAACATGACTACTGTTTTCCTTCTCTGAGCTGGGTTGCTGAGCACGATCTGTGCTCACACAGTCTTCTTGGTAGTGATATACATTCAAATCCTCAAAGACCATCCGTGCCTGAAAGAACAAGAGGCCCCTTTCTGTTTAATAACTGAGATTCCTTGGCAGCTCTGTTGCTTAAGAAAGACTTAGACCCAGTTAAGGGAAAGAATGGTGAAGGGACCTAGAAACCCCATACAGAAGCAGCACGGACAGGACAGCTAGGCTGAGGAGCCAGAAAAAAACAGAAGAGAAATACCCACGGAAGCTTACTTCAAAAAAAAAATGTACTATATGCAGTTTGGCTGAAAGGGAAGGCTGTGAGAGCATAAGGCAATGCAGTCAAACAGTGCGTGAAAAACAAAATCCACCTTCGAGTCAGCTTTAAAACACAGAAACACTGTCTCCCGTTTCTGCTGGACTCCTCTGGAAAGAAGCTTTACCAAAGGACAAGTTTGCACTGGAGAACGAGAAAGCTGTGGTTAGTGAAAACTCTGTGACTCTACAGGACACTCGGTCCAGGTTCAGCCGAGAGTCAACCGTGGCCCTCTTTGGGGGCGCACGTGGTACCCTAGTTGCTCTAGCATCTCAGTAAGGGATGATGCTCACCCATCAGCCGCCCCAACCTGGCTGTTTGTCCAAACCGCCCTCTGCCTTCGGCACTCTCAGTTCCCGGCGATAAGACCTGGGTTCTGGAAATGACCCAGAAAGCCAGGCGCTGAGGCCGATCTCTCGCCTCGTCCTTCTGACTATCCTCAAAGACTGTCAGCAACCTTTTGGAACTTGCCGCCTTCCGCTGAGAGGACATTGAAAACTAGTTCCTTCTGGGAGGCCGGATGTTTCCGCTTCTGTGGGACCACTTTCGGTGAGGCACTTCCGGTGTGGAAGTCTGGTGTTGAAGACTGGCTGATGGCGCTCTTAGGGCCCAAGGGAAGCCGGGCAGGCGGGAACTAGTCTCTGTGGCCCACTTCGGAGTCAAGAAGCAGGAAGCTACCTCTGGTCCTCCCTGGCGGGCGCGCATGTCGCCATGAGTGGCCAATCTAGTGTCCAGTGCTCGCTGGGAAATGTAGTTCCCTCCAAACTGTTACCCGGAAACCACCTGGTGGCCGGGGGACAAACGGAGACGCTACGGGAAGCTGGCCACACCACGTGGGCCTCGGTTTCCTTTGCAGCATTCCCGAGGGTTCAGGACCTCCTGGCATGCGCCCTGGGTGTGTCCGGTGCTGGTGTTCGCCCCTCCTTGACACTCTCAGCGGAACCTGCGTGCTGGGCTGTGCTTAGGTTCCAGTTTACTAACCTCTACATTGTCATTGTATTTTTAAAAGAGAGTTTCCATTTCCCTACTCATTTTGGGCCTCTCACAGACTTTCTGACCTGGAACTCATGGCGGTCTCCTGCCTCAGCCTCCTGAGTGCAAGGAAAAACAAGTGCGACCCACCAACTCTGCTCTTTCTTCACTCTTTTCATACTCAGTTTGTTCCCGGTGAAGTACTGACGAAGTTTAGGACCATCTATGGGCACTGGTTGCTTCCCTCTGTTGTGGCGTTCGAATCCACTGGGAGAAACCAAAGACTTAGACTCAACTCAAATTTAAATGAAATGAATTTATTCTTACTGCTAGCAGAAGGACTGCCAACTTAGAGTGTAACATGCGGAAGAGGGATTAGGGTGGGGTTTTTAAGGCAGGCATCAGAAAGGTATGCATTACAAATATCCATGGAATCCACAGCTGGGCAGGAAAATACTATATAGTAATAAAGAGACCATTCCGCCTCTTTCCCATAGCGATAAGCAGGGTTTACAGAAGCAATAGCAGCTGTTAATACCTCACAGCCCATTATCATTTTTGGTTGTGAGCCTAGCCTTTAACGGCTGAGCCATCTCTCCAGCCCACAGCCCATTATTCTTTTTTTTTTGTTTGTTTTTGTTTTTTCAAGACCTGGGTTTCTCTGTGTAGCCCTGGCTGTCCTGGAACTCACTTTGTAGTCCGGGCTGGCCTCGAACTCAGAGACCGCCTTTTTCTGCCTCCTGAGTGCTGGGATTAAAGGTGTGAGCCACCACCGCCTGGCCTATTATCCTATTATCTCATCTGAAAACCACTAGGATCTCCCAGGCATTCCAGAGCAAAAGGTCAAGGGCCCATAAGGGATGCCCGGCTCCGTATTAAGTTTCGTTAGTCATCACAGGGGACCTGTGTAAATTATTGCTCAGATCAGAGCTCTCCAATGACCAGGACAGAGCAGTTCATTTCTGGTTAAGCAAAAACACAGTGCCATCAGGTTTGGACTGACTGTCACAGCCCCACACCTCCAGGAATAAAAGGACAGCCTCCAGCAGGATGTCGAACTTTTTCTTTTTAAATGTGCCAACACTAATAGCCAACTCACTCAACCATGGCTTAAAATATAGAGTATGAAAACTGGCGACAGAATGAGTAAACAGTAGAAAACATGTATGTGTGTGTTGTTGTTGTTTTTTTTTTTAAAAAAAAAAAGCCAGACATAATCCCAATGCTGGGGAGACAGACACAGGGGATTCCCTGGGGCTTGCAAGCCAGCTATACTATTCTGCTTAGCCAGTTTCAGGCTAGTGAGAGATCCTGTGCAGAAAATCAAAAAAAGGATTGCATCTGAGGAATGATCTGAGGTTGATCTCTGCTCTCCATATGCCATATACATGCACATTTACACACACATGTACACCATCGTGCAGACAGGCACACACCATATGCATTCATGCACACACACACAATTAATATTGTTACCCAGTAAAATATGTACAGCCTACCGTCAAAGCTATGGTTAAATCATTATATGTTAATGTAGTACAATGCAATACAACCAATAAATAGAATAAATAAAAAGGCAAGTTACAAAACAGTATTTTGTAATGATAAGAATAGCAGCAGTCTGCCTAAAAGGAAGCTGATTCATAATTCCCTTCAGGTATGAGATTTATTAGAATATAGGGTGTCTGGTCCCTGACTGGGCCTCAAGGTGGAGGAAGCGTGTTGGAGATACAATACACGCAATGGGGAGAGCTAAATGTGCTGCCTTCAAAACCCAGAGAGGTAAAAGTGAGAACCAAGCTGTTCACTGGTGGCGCACACCTTTTAATCCCAGCTCTTGGGAGGCAGAGGCAGGTGGATCTCTGTGAGTTTGAGACCAGCCTGGTCCATAGAGTTATATTTCGCTTTCTGCTTGCCAGTACTTTGCACACTCCCAAATTCCACCTCCCAGTGATGGCAGCTGGAGTCAAGGCTAGGAGTATCAAGGGTGATGATGTAACTTTAGAATCTTCGGGGACTGTCAGGCAGTAGGTATGTTTTGTTTCCAAATCTCACACTCTTCATGTCAGAGAAGTTGAGGTTGGGGTGAGCAGTTGCTGGATCAGAATTCCGGAAACTGCAGGAAGAATAAGAACACCTGGCTGGGGGAGGGGATCTGTAGGCTTCTCTCAAGGTTCTTCCCATCGAAGGCAGAGGGATTTCACTGAGATTGTGGTAGGGGACAGAGACATACAGGGACCCAATATACCAAGGCTACTACTTGCCTTGATCTAGGCACTTACCAGCATGTTCCTGAGCACCAGTCAGTTCTGGAACTACAGAGGGGGAAAGATGGAATAAAGAAAGTTCTAAGCATATCTATCAAAGGAGTCTGAATTATTCTATCCCCACAAGGAAAGACAGGATTCTCCTGCTTAGGGCTCTGCATCCTAGGTTAGTTATAACCCATGGCCTCCCAGGAACCCTAGAGACTGAAGAGGTTACTTCAATAAACAAGGCATACACAGGGACCAAACAGAGCTGTGGGGGCCTTTTATGACCTGTCTGGTGCCTCTGTTCTAGGTGTTTCCCCCTCTTCTGAACAGTTCCCCCAAAGCAACAGATAAAGAACAATTACAAAAACTCTTGGTTAGCTTATATTTCCACCACCATACTTACAAATGAAGGCTTCCATTTCAGGAAAGATCTAAGTTTTCGTTTGTTGTTCTGAGAAAGGGTCTCATGTAGCTCAGGCGTGCCTTGAGCTTGTTGAGGCTGAAGGTAATCCTGAGGTTCTGATCCTCCAGCTTCTACTTCTGGATAAAGTGCTATATCATGGTCCTGTGTGTTTCCACCATCCCATTTTAGGTAAGTGTTGGGAATCAAACCCTGGGCCTGTGGTGTGCTAGGCCAACGCTCTCCCCATTTTGCCTCATCCACAGCACTGAATGTTTCCATTTCAGAGCGCAGTGTTTCTAAAATGGAGGAAAGGGAACAGAGAGAAACTGAGCTAGTGGAATGAGTTAGGTCAGGAAGAAGCTAGGCAGGGTTATAAAGGCTTTGGTAGATGGGGAAATGAATGGACAGGCTCTGGGCTGCGTGGATTCCAGGGAGGAAGTGAGCAAGTGCTTCTCATCTCCCTCCAAGCTCACTCACCTGAGAAGTACTGCATACTCTTTTCCACAAACTTTGATTTCTGGTAGAGCAGGTGGATCTTTTCTCTGACATCTGGAAGAGTGACCAGTGGCTCAGAGACAGTCACCATCTTGGCCCTAAAGACAAGAGATTGTTGGCCAGAGAAGATAAGAACAAGATGTAGCCTGAGTCCCTATGAGGTGACAGTAAGACCATCCCCACTAAACACACCCATCCCAGTTTGGGTGACACAAAGAAATCTTCCCTAGACTCAAAGTTCTGACACTGGTCCTCAACTTCAGCTGCAGATCAGCATTTCTGGGCCACTGTTATAAAAATCACAATGAGTTTAAATAACAGCCTTCAAATTGAGTTACTCTCGCTATCAGAATTCTCTATGTCAAATTAATTATACTTCTCTACTATTTCTATTGAAAGAAAAAAGGGGAAAAGGGAGTGCCACTTCACACCTATTAGAATGGCCATTGTGACAGCAGTAAAATGACAACAGGAAATTACAAGTTGATGATGAGGATGTGGAGAAATTAGCACTGTGAGTGGGAATGCAAAATAGTGCTTCTACTGTGGGAAATAGTACGCAGATTCCTTAAAAGTTTTAAATAGATGGACATACAGTGATTCTACTTGTAAGTGTAAAGTCCGAGAAATTGAAAGCAGGGTCTCAAGTAGCACTTGTATATCCCTGTTCACAACAGCACCGTTCCCAATAGCCCAAAGGTGGAAACAGTCCAAATGTCCATCAGTAAACAACTAGATAAGGAAGCTGTGATGTCTGCGCACAAAGGAGTGTCACTTGGCAATTAAAAGGAGTGGAATTCTGATACATGTTACACCATGAACTGTGAAAACATTATACTGAATGAAAGTAAGCCGAAGACTAAAAGACAAACTTTTTATGATTCTGCTAATGTGCAGTATTTCGAACAGCCAGACTAAGAAACCAGAAAAGCAGAATGGTGGTTGCCAGGCAACAAGGGACGGAGGATGAGGAATGAGTGTTTAATGGTACAGAGTTCCTATGTGGGAAGATGAAAAGGTTCTGGAGGTGGACAGTGGTAGTATGTTCACACTAATATGAATGTATGAATATCAGTGCACTGCAGACATAAAATAGCTGAAATTTTATGTTATGCATATTTTACTGGAAAAATAATTTAAAAAAAAAAAACCACTAATGTCCAAGTCCCAACCCCAAGATTGAGACTTAATTGGTGTGGCTGTGGCTTAGACACCAGCATTTTGTAAAGCTCACAAGTAATGATGAGATGTAGCCTTTTCTATCTCAACTCTCTCTTCCCCTTGCCTGCTGGGCTTAGCTCACCTCCAAACTGATCCCCAAGGACTCCCCAAAAGTGCTTGAGGCCAGAGGCAGTTCTTCAGGGGCCACTGTCATAAAACAAGTGGCATGGGATGCAATCCATTCAAGAGGATGCAAAGAAGCATCTGTGTCCAGCAGGACTGGAATAAATCCCTTCTCAGTATTCCGTTCATGCCCTGCACACTCCCACCTGGCCAAGCTCCCACACAAATCCAGGAAGGACGATCTCAGGAAGCTTAAGGAAACAGGAGTCCTCAATTACAGACCCAGGTCTTTCCTAGGACTGTCCCATCCAAATACTTCCTGCAAGACACCCAAGGGGACATCATGGGACATCTGCAATGTGTACCTGTGCAACATGACTCCAATGTCCTAGGAGAGAAAAGAGAGAAGCTCTCTGTTACCAGTCTCCAAGAGTCTGTGATTCCCAGGCTGCAAGCTGCTCTCTGGTCTTTCAAGGACTCCCAGTTGTAGGGTACCAACAAATAGGAACTTTCCTCCTTTATTGTAATTCTAATCACAAGGGTAGAAACCCTGCCAGAACCCACTTTTCAACTGCATTGCAGTTTGTTTATCTTTTCTGGGTGATGCCAGGGGCATCCCAGATGCTGAGATGTTCTGGACTCCCAAGAGACCTTATCAAAGAGATGTGAACCCAAGAGGCATGGGTCAATGAAGACCAAGTCCCGTGCCAGGCCTCAACGGCCTTGCTTCCTGCCTTGGGCAGTGACAAGAGTCTGAATTTCCCACTGGGCACAGCAGATAGGGAAAGGCCAAGCACACTCACACTCACCTGCATGAGCTTCCACTCTGGCTGGTCTTGCTTGGCCTCTAGTTCTCCAATAAGTTCATCCAGGAGGGCAATGTCTCGGGAAATTTGGGTGTCATATGTCTCTCGGAGCTTGCCAATGGTCTGGCCTAGCTCCTGTAGCCAGGTCACAAAGAGCTGCTCTTGCTGCTCCAGGAATTGGTACAGCTTCTCAAACTGACATGAAATATTCTGCTGCTGGGTTTCTGTTTGTTTCTGGGGAACATAGAATCAGGAGATGTATGAGTGTGTGCTGTGGGCTGGAAGTATATATCTAGGGATACCCTCAAAGCCCACCACACAGAGATGGATGAGAGGCAGGCTTCCTCAGTGTGAAGTCTGAATGAGAATGGCCCCCATAGGCTCATATATTTGAATGTTTGGTCCACAGTTGGTGGACCTGTTTGGGAAGGATTAGGAGGTGTGGTCTTGGGAGGAGGTGTGTCACTGAAATTGAGCTTTGAGGTTTCAAAAGCTTACACCGTTCCCAATTAGTTCTTGCTCTTTCTTGGCCTAATGCTTGTGACAAAGATGTAAGTTCTCAGATACTGCTTCAGCAACATGCCCGCCTGCCTGCTGCCATGCTCTCAGCCATGATGGTCATGGACTCTAACCCTCTAGAACTGTGAGCCCCCAATTAAATGCTTTCTTTGATAAGTTGCCTTGGTCACAGTGTCTCTTCATAGCAATTATTTTTATTTTTATGTGAACAAATGTTTTGCCTGAATGCATGCATGTGTACCATATGTGTGCCTGGTGCCCTCAGAAGTCAAAAGAGGGCTTCAGATCCCCTGGAACTGAAATTAGGGGTGGCTGTAAGCCACCATTTAAGTGCTGTGACTTGAACTTGGGTCCTCTGCAAGAGCAACAAGTGCTCCTAACTGCTGAGCCATCTCTCCAGCCCCCATCTTCACAGCAATTTAAATGTAACCAAGATTCTCAGCCTCTTAGAGACCTGGGCTCCAGAATGGGGAGCAGTCTATATGGAACTTTCCAGAACAGACTGAGCATAAAAGGGGCTAGCTCTTGGGAAAATGTGCTGAATATGGTGCTAGCTTCAGTGATTTCCCCTCCAAAATTTCCATGTTAAAGTCCAAGTACCTCAGAATATGATTTTATCTAGAGGTAGGACACTTGTGGATTTATTTAGTTAAGGTGAGGTCATTCTTCGGGGCTGTGGGGTGCACATCTTTAATCCCAGTACTTGGGAGGCAGAGGCAGGCAGATATCTGAGTTTGAGGCCAGCCTGGTCTATAGAGCGAGTTCCAGGACAGCCAGGGCTACACAGAGGAACCCTGTCTCTGTCTAAAAAAACAAAAAAGCAAACAAACAAACAAAAAAACCAGAGGTCATTATAGTAGGTTGACATCCAGGCCATCTAGGAGTATATAGTGAGATCTAGTCTCAAAAAGCCAAAAAATGGGGACTGGGGGATTTATCTCAAGGATAAAACTCCTTCCTAGAAAATACAAAGTCCTAGGTCCTGTCCCTAGAACTGGGAGAAAAAACCCAAAAGTCAATATAGTTTTTATAAAATTTATAAATAAAAAATTGTTGTTATTATTATTACTGTCATTCTAAGATGGGATCTCACTATGTAGCCCTGGCTAGCCTGGAACTTGTTATGTAGATCAGGCTGGCCTCAAACTTGTGGCAGTTTTCCTACCTTTTCCTCCTGAGTGCTAGGATTACAAGTGTGTGTCAACATTACCAGATTTTTTGCTATGTGTGGGAGTCTAATGTAGCCCAGGTTGGTTTTGGACTTGCTGTGTTAATGATGAACTTGAACTGATCCTCCGGCCTCTACCCTCCAAATGCTGAGGTCATCCGTGTGCCCCCACATCTAGTTTTTACCACACTGGGGATGGGACTTGGGGCTTCATTGGTTGTGTGTTTCCACTCTCCCGGCTGAGCTACATCTTCAGCTCCAACAATAATTCTATAAACAATACAGAGAGTTTTTGAAGTGACAGCTCTAGTTTCTCTAAACTGTTTAGTTGTGAGAAGGAGAGAATGAGCAGCCCTTGGAGGTGGCTCTCTCCCCTGACAGGGAGCTGCAAGGATGAATGAGCTCACCTTAGACCTCCCTACCGTCACCACTGAGATCATCCCTGCTGCCCTGTGAGTCAGAGCAGAGCCTCAGGAACCATTGCACATGCTTCCTCCTCTCTGCAGGTATAAAGGGGCAAGGACTGGCCGTGGGTACGCACCAGGAAGTTCTCTGTCTTCTTATCTCTCTGTAGTCTGTATCTCTCCACACATCCCCTCAGCTCCCTCAGACGCTCCAGCTGCTCCTGGATTTGCTCCTGGAGAAGAATATGCAGGTAGACGCTTACATTTGACTCCTGCCATTTTTTTAGCTCATACCAGTTCTAGAGGGAAGAATCCTCTCCTGGAAGCAGAGCTGGGGCACTGCAATTGGGAGCAAGAGGAGGGTTCTAGGAAAGAAATGGTGTGAATCCATCGCCAAGGGGTCCCCACAGGGGGACCCGGGATCCATTCTCAAAACCAGTAACCTTGGGCTTCTGAGAAATGTGGATTATCAGTTCCTTCTTCGCTCTCCTAGTTTGTCTTGCGTTTCGACCGTTTAGAGCCCAGGAATCCTGACTGACGCCCCCACATCCCAGAGGGCTGGATGAGGAACACAAGCAGAGACGTCTATGTGGGAGTGAACACCTACTTTATACTCCAGTGCAGCCTCCTCTATGGGACGCACTCGATGACCTTGATGCTCCTGACTCAGCCTGCAGATGAGGCATATGGGCTCCTTGTGGTCCTCACAGAAGAGCAGCTGCACCTGCTTCATGTGACGTGGGCACTGTGGTAGGGGCTGGGGGCTCTGGTCTCCACAGCTCTTTCCTGCAAGTGAACCTTGGCACTGGGAGCATATGGGTGAGCATCTGCCTGGGGCCTTGGGATCCCCGGGAGCAATAGAGCAGCTGCAGGAACTTTGCACACAGGTACCACCATGCAGGTCTCCTTCCTGGGTGTGGCAAAGAGGACACGCAGCCTTGTCCTGTGACCTTCCTGGAGACACAGCAGTGGAAAAAAAATCTCCTCAGTGAAAAACCCAAGATAGTTACAAGAGAGCAGTTGTTCATAGGACGCACACATTCTCAGTTAGAGCTAGCCACTTCCCAGCATGCTCTTCTCTGACTTCCATTCAAATGAAGCTATAAACAGGCCACTGAGGCTGAGAGCGGAGGGCGAAGTTTTTCTGGGCTCTCGCATTCTCAGGCATTGATTCTGTGAGACACCTGTGGCCCTTTGCTATAAATCCTATGCTTTCCCCCTTTCGTAGACGCAGATCTAGTGGCTCATTTAAAAGAAAGCAAACCATGCTAATGGCATTTGCTTTTGTATTTCAAACCACCACAGATTGCCCACAACTGAAGCAAGAGCTCTTGGGGATGGTCACTGTGTGCCTCATTCATGGACAGGTCTTCACTCCCAGCAGAAAATCTGGCCAGAGAGTATGGCAAGCATTTGAAATGTGTGTGTTGGGTGAATCCTCTGCTCCCATTCAAGAAATAAAAGCAAAGAAAGGAACCTTATAAAGCTAACAGGTGTTTCTCACAGTGAAGACAACAGTTATGAAAGTTCTGCTCCAAGGCTGTAGGCAATGCTTCTCTACATCAGAAACAACAGAAGACACAAGTAGAAACAGAAACACCCACACAATCCATTAGCTCTTCCTTCCTCCTCCCTCCCAGCCCCAGGAATTTGCCTCACAATCAAACTTCATAGTGTTCCATAAGGACCCTTTCTCGTGACAGAATAAACTGTTTGCCCTATATAGCTGCTCCTCCACCTCACTCCAAACAGATTCTCAGCCTCCTGTGCAGTTAGCAGAAGCCATTTGATCGAATGCTAGTCAAAGGGAAGTGAGTGAGAACAAATGACTTGTAGAAACCTTTAAAAACTTTCTCTACATCATGATGTCCCTCCCCTCTGTCCCTCCAAACTCTTGAGTGGAGCCGGGGGCTCATAACCTCTGAGGCTATGAATTTCAGGGAAAAAAACTTGAAGCAGAAAAACAGCTCAGCAGAAGTTTAGTTGTGGTCACACAAATGACTCACATTGGTATGAAAGAGGAACAAGCTTCTGTGTTATCCATCTGAGCTGGTGGTTTCTATTTCTCACAGACAACATAATCCTATGACTAATTTCCCAGTAAGAGGGTTTGGGGTCAACATCTTTCCCCCTGTTCAGAGAAAGGTGGTTAGCAGAATCTCTGCCCCAAGACTTACACTGTGGAGTCACAGTGGGAGAAGAAGGTTTTAATCCACTCTTTAGATTCTTAACCTAGCCTGTGGCTCTATCCGGGGACTTCTGAGAGCTCAGGCACCAACTGAGATTGGATGCAACCCTTTGCGCAAGAAGTGTAAATGTGCATCCTCCTGGGCCTGCGTCCCCTTTGCAAAGGGACCCCCGGAGGCAGCCAGGTATCCCAGCAACATAAATGTGATAAGAATAAAAGGAAATTCCCGAGAGCTGGGGAGGATACCTTTACAAGCTGTCGATACTAAGGATGCTGGGTCTTCTGGGGTTTGGGCTGGTTTTTCACATAGTGGCAAAGGCTCTTCTGGATCGCAGGGCTCACAGCACGTGCTGACCGCCATCTTCCCCAAGCTCGCAGGGGCCTCTGGACTCCCAGTTTCATTTTCCTCCCAGGATGTAGTGCTTTTCTCCTCACCAATCGACGATGTTTTGGAAGGCGTGTTCCTGAATGTTTCTTCACTGGGGACCATGGAAAGTTCTGGATTCCCTGAACCCTTTTCTAGAGCCCCAGTAGGCCCTTCATTCAGGACAGCTATTCTCATGGAAGTAGGGGCCAAGTGTGGCTTCCCATTCATTGTTTCCTCGGGAGTCAGAAGAGCTTCTGAATTTGGGGGCTCTCCTTGGCTTGAATACGTGGTAATTTCAAGACTTTTGGGTCGCTGCTTTCCTGAGGGCAGATATGCTTCAGCTTTCTTGCAATCTCTCTTACCCCGGGACATTGTTGCAGAGTCCCTGCAGCCTTCCCGCAGAGCTGGCATTCCTGCGGAGCTGGGCATTTGCCCTGCTCTCCCTTGTCCCCCTGGGGACTGGGTGGTGACCAGGCTTCTTCTGTAGGGTGGTGCTGTGCCCCTGGCCCATGGCTTGGTCTGTGAGTCCCAGGCTCTCAGGGCCCCTTGGATCCCTCCTTTTGACCAGAGACTTCTTCTGGGACCCCTTCTCCACTTCAGACTGGCTGGGTGGCAGGCCATCTGATCCATCACCACTCTGCCTTGTCCCGTCACCTTCCAGGACCTCTGGTACTTTCACACTCTTGGGCTTATTCCTCTCCAGAAGACTGGACAGGACCACCAATTCTATTTTCTTCAGTTAAATGTTCTAGAAAGACAATCAGATAGAGGCATGAAGCTGTCCTACCTTCAAGGCTGAGGCTGGAGGAAGGAAGAAAGGATCTCCTCAGAAGTTACTAAAAGGAAAAGCACAGAACATTCTAGACAACAGCAGCTCAATTACACATAATCATAAAATATAGGCAGGCGGGTGGTGGCGCACCGCTTTTAATCCCAGCACTTGGGAGGCAGAGCCAGGCGAAAAAACCAAAAGAAAAAAAAAAAAGGTGATTGGGGATTTAGCTCAGTGGTAGAGCTAAATACAATACATACATACATATATATATTCAGCTTGATGACTGAATTTGACCTCCAGAACCCACAAGGGGAAAGGAGAGACGCAATTCCTTCAAGTTGTCCTCTGACCTCTATATGTGCAACATGGCATGCTAACACTCACTTGTATATATGCAGACAGACACAAGTACATATATAAAATATAATTAAAATAAAGATTAATAAAGGAGGCTGGAGAGAGAGAGAGATGGCTCAGCAGTTAAGAGCAGTGGGGACTCCTCTAGAGCCCCAGACTCAGTTCCCAGTGTCCACACGGTGGCTCACAAACCGCCAGTCATTCCAGTTCTAAGGAATAGGGCGCCCTCTTCTGGTCTTTGTGGAACCAGGCATGCAAGTGGTGCACACACACACACCTGCAGACAAAACATCCATACACATAAAATTAATTAATTAATAGGGACTTATAAATGAATCTTTTTCATTCATTACACAAGCTGAAGGAAATTCCAGGTCACAAAGTTAAGTACAGAAGGCACTTGAAAACAATTTTTGAATGCGTGTGGTGGTGCACATCTTCTAATTTCAGCACTGTGAACACAAGAGGTAGGGGGATCTCTATGAGTTTGAGGCCAGCCTGGTCTTCATAGTGAGGCCCTATCTAAAAACCAAAACCAAAAGAAGAACAAAAATAGCAAGCAACCTTGCCTGAAATTTCAGGATATTGCTGTTTAAAAGGCTTAATTCCAAAGTGTACATAATGAAGATAATCTCTAATTAGCAACCTATGTTTTAATTTGAAGAAACTTTTCATTAAAAATAAAAACTGCCGGACGGTGGTGGCGCACGCCTTTAATCCCAGCACTCGGGAGGCAGAGCCAGGCGGATCTCTGTGAGTTCGAGGCCAGCCTGGGCTACCAAGTGAGTTTCCAGGAGAGGCGCAAAGCTACACAGAGAAACCCTGTCTCGAAAAACCAAAAAAAAAAAAAATAAATAAAAAATAAATAAATAAATAAATAAAAATAAAAACTGTTTAAATATGCTTGTAAAGTATGCTAAAGAAGAATTCTAAACTGAAATTAGGTGGGTTAATGTGATTTTTCAGCCATGTTAGTATGATTGGATTTCCAGGCCTTTCTGTCAACTTGATGTTTGTCTGGGCATGTGTATTAATTGAAAAAATGGAGTAAAGAATTCTGTAGGAACAGGTGTTCCAGCTCTGCCTGTCCTGATTCTGACCCCACAGTCAGAATATCAGTTTTTATTTTTAAAACCTTTAGGTGCCGAGGGAGCTTCAGTAAGCAGGCTACCAAGGCCAGAGAGGGACAAGATGTGCTGGGTTGACACTGCAGTGGACAGAGCTTCCCAGCCATTAAGCTAGAGAGCTTGGGTGTGAGCATTGCTTCCCTTCTCCATACCAGTAGCCAGCAGTCATCGTGGCTAGGAAGGGGCTTGGCCACTTACCTGGCCCTGTGGCCTTACGAAGCTCCTCTGCTAGTAGACGCTGGTTGGTGGCCCTCAGGATCTGCATGGTCAGTCTTACAGCGTACTTCTCCCCATAGTAGGCGAGCAGCAGGCTGGCCAGCTTAAACTGGCCTGGCCATCTGCAGATGACCCCCGGGGGATCCGGGAGTGGCCCTTCTCCAGGGCTGGTGTTCTGCAGCTTGAACTTGAACTTCTCGAAGTCATAGGGCAGCAGCTCCTCCAGAGTGTTTAGCAGATGGTCACCAAGGGTTATTGGGCCATGGTGCTGGCCAGGAGGGATTGCAGTCAGCTGCGTGGCTTCTGGCAGAAGATAAAGACCTGTCTCCTGGAAGTTCAGAACAAGCAAGAAATAGCTTGTGAAATAACGGACAAGGCACAGGAAACACCACAGGCTTTGGTGGGAACTGAGACTGACGATGAGGGCGTGTCCAGGATCCAGCCTGCCACATCTTTTCTTTGAAGTTTCATAGGATTTCCAGTGGGGAGGGGTCTGCTTGGCCAGCCTATGCCCTGGTTGAACAAAAGGCAGGCTAAACTGTAAGGGGGGATTTTGGGATTGGGATCCAGACCTTCCAACTGCTCTCTTGCTCTTTCTTGCTCTCAGGACCCCAGGCTGATGGAAGAGAAGGAGAGAGGTGGCCTTGCTCAGAGTTGGCCCCTCTGGCCAACTGCTCTCTTTGGACTCTTGGGGTTTAGTTTATAGACCTTAAAGCCAGCAACAGGTGAAGGAACAGACAGCAATAAATCCCGATAGACTTTGCCTGGGCCTGCTCAAAAAAGCAGAAGAAGCCAGAAGGACAGTGGGATGCAGTTCCAGGTCTGTCTGTCCAGCATCACAAAGTCCTCATGGTGGCACTGAGGGCCACCATTCTCATGCTTCTGTCCCCACAGCTGACTTGACCCTTGCTCCTGGGCATCAGGATGTTTTTCTTTGTACCCTCTGAAATATATTTTCTAGGCACTTGCCAGGATGCTTGAGGTGCAAGGTTGGAGAGATGCAGGCATCCTTTGGCCTTGCAGTTGAGCCAGGGTGAGCCTCTCAAAGTGGCTCCAAAGCCAATAGAGGACGCGTGGGGCGGGGGGCGGGGGAAACTGATCTCTACTTCACTTTCCTGTTTCGGCCTTTATGAACTTCTTGGTTTTTATCCTCAATCTTCTATTTTGAAAATTTTCAACCTACAGAAAAGTGGAGAGAGAGTACAAGGCACACTTCATATCCTTTACATAGGCCCACTAACTGCTTCTGTTTTATATTTTCTGCTCCATTCTTCACTGTTTTCTTTCCCATTTGATAATAAATGAAAGGTATTATTATGTATCATCCTAAACATCCTAGATATCTGTGATGGCTGGTCTTGGTTGTCAAACTGACATGCTTGGGAAAGGTAACCTCAATTGAAAAACTGCCTCCATGAGATCGGCCTGTAGGCATGTCTGTGGGGCATTGTCTCGACTGCTGGCTGCTGTAGGGATGCCCAACCCATCGTGTGTGGCACCATTCCTAGGCAGGTGGGTTTGGCATGTACAAGAAATGTAGCTGAATGTGAGCCTAGGAGCAAGCGAGTAAGCAGTGTCTCTCCACCACTTCTGCTTCAAGACCCTTGCCTTTATTTCCCGCCTTGGCTTCCTTTGGCCATGGACTGTAACCTGGAAGATGAAATAAACCCTTTCCTTCTCCAATTGCCTATTGGTCATGACGTTTATCCCAACAACAGAAACCAAACTAGGACAATACCCTAAATACTTCTAGTAATGTAGTAGGAACAGGCCCATAGGGTCAAGGAAATAGGCTCAGACCAGTAGCCAAGGCATACACATAACATACTCCTTAAGAGCCAACCTGGAGTCTGCCTGAGGGCCTAGCAACAGGAGCTGTCAGAGTTCCTAGTCGATGTCAGAGTTCCTGATGGTGCTGAGTCTGCCTGAGGACCTAGCAACAATCGCTATCAGAGTTCCTGATCATGCCCAGCCATTAAGGACAACTACACAGACTGGGCACTGGGAGGAGGGTACATAAGGCCTTCCCTGTTAGTGAATAAATGAGTTTGTTATTTGCTTTCAATGGACTCCCAGTGCCTGTGCCATTGATGCCATGCCTTCTCACCCCCTCCCCTCCCCCGAGGGAGCCGTTAGGATCCAAGCAACATAATAATATAATACTTTATTGTGGATGTGTTTGTGGTGTGTGTATGTTTGTGTGTGCACATGTGTTCAGGGGCATGTGTGCAAATGTGTGCATTTATAGAGGCCAGAGATTGACATTGGGTGTCTTTCTTTATTGATTTCCATCCTATTTATTTATTTATTTATTTATTTATTTATTTATTTTATTTATTTATTTGAGACATGGTTTCTCACCTGAACCTGGAGCTTACCAATTCAACTAGATGGAGTGGTCTGAGAGCCCTCAGGATTCCCCACCCCTCTGGTACTGGGATTATACACATGTACCATGCCTGACTTTTTACATGGGTGCTGAAGATCCGAACTCAGGTCCTTATGGTTGTATGGTGAGCATCAAACCCACTGAGCCAGCCCCCCAACCAATAAGGTGCTATTTTAAATAACTGCAACTCAACTTTTACACTCAAGAAAGGTAACATCGAAATAGAACAACCAGTCCATGTAATTTCTCCATATGTTCCTTTGCTTTTTTTATTTAATATATTGACTTTCCCCCCCTTTTTTTAATTACATAAGATAGTTTCTTTATTGATTCTTTGGGAATTTCACATTGTGCACCCCCCCTAATTCTACTCACCCTCCTGGTCCCCCCCATATCCCCCCCTCACCTCTGCAGCATGCTCCCAAAAGAAAATTTTTTTAAATTAAAAAAAAAAAAACAAGACAAAACAAAGCAACCAAACACAAACAAAAACAAGAACCAACCAACCAACCAAACAAACCTCTTCATTTCTCCGTCTTTCCTGCCTCTTCATTGGTCCTGGTGGCATTGGGAGAGGTGTATCACTCAGTATATCCTTTTGTCTAATCAGCTTTATGAGCAAAATGTTCGTTGCAGTGAGTCACTGGTCTGGTTCAAGGTCTCATCTGGTACACCATTATAACTGGGCCCTCACTGCCATCCTCTGGGACATCCCATGGCCACCCCACCCCCCCCCCAGTCATGGAGATCCTGCAGGTATTGCTCCACAGGACCCATCCCTTCGTGAGCTCCAGCAGGTCCTAGGTGAGGTAGATGTTAGGGTAGGCCAACCCAAGGCCCAGCTGTAGGCCTGAGTAGTAGCTGAGCTGGTCATTCCAAGCCACTGGGGCCACCCACTTCAAGCGAGGGGACAGAGCCAGCTCCCCTATGCCATGCCATCAGGGTCAGTTCTCCCTTGCCTGTGATGAGGGGTGAGGCCAGCTCTCTTGGTGCAGTGTCCAGTGAGAGGCAGTACCAGCTTTCCCTGAGCCAGGGAAGGACAGGGCTGGCTCAGGATAGACCTCTAATTTCATCACACATGGTTCCTATGCCCCCCTGAGGTGACACAGGCCACTGACATTAACACAGACCACAGCTGAAGCTAGACCATGGACCCAGACATTACCCTTGGCAGCAGCTTGGGCCCGAACACCATCCTGGCATTGGTAGAAGCCCTGGCCACTCAGGATGACTCTGGTGGCAGCATGGACCCCAGACACCACCAAGGCCTCAGGCTGTGGCCCCAACCCCGGGCTTCTGTGTGACCTTTGGTGGCAATACAGGACTTAGACTTTGGCACAGACACCAACCGAGGTAGGACCATGGACCCAGACATGGTCCTTGGCAGCAGTCAGGTCTGGATGTCACCATTGCCCCAGGTGGCAGTGTATGTCACTCAGATCAGCATGGCCCCAGCAGCCATGTGGCCCTTAGCCACCAACATGGCTCCAGACCTTGGGTGTCTGCATGGCCTTCAATGGTAACAGGAACCTCGGATGTCAATACAGACCCTGGTTGCAGTAGGGCCACTGACCCAGACCTGGCCCTCTGCTGTAGTTCTGGCCCAAACATCACCATGGCATTTGGTAGCAGTACAGACCACTCAGATCTGCATAGCCCTGACTGTATCATGGCCCTTGGACACCAACATAGACTCAGGTGGTTGACCTGACCCTGGGAAATCACATGGCCCTTGGTGGCAATAGAGCCACATATGTCCACCCAGACCCTGACTGCTGGTCCAGCCCAGGCCACACAGATCTGTATGGCAGCAGCTACAGCCTGGCTCCCAGACTCCAACAAGGCCACAGGTTGCAGCCCAGACCCCGGGCCTCTGTGTAGGCTCTAGTGGGCTCCTGGCCACAGACTTCAACACAAACGGTAGTTGAGGCTGAACTACAGACCCACACATAGCCCTAGGCAGCAGCTCAGCCTAGTCAGCATCCTGGCTCCAGGTGGAAGCACCAGCCATTCAGATAAGGATGGCTGTGGCAGAAGCGTGGCCCAGACCCTGGGTTTCCATGTGGCCTTTGGTAGCAACATGGGCCATGGGTTTTCTACACAGACCCTAGCTGGAGTACGACCATTGACCCAGACATGGTCCTTGGTAGCAACCTGGGTCTGGATGTTACCATGGTCCCAGGTGACAGCAAAGGCCACCCAGATGGGCAGAGCCCCAGTGACAGTGTGGCCCCTGGATACCAACATGGCCCCAGGTGGAGGCCCAGACCCCTGGAATAAACATGACCCTCAATGGCAACAGGAGCCATGGACATCAACACAGACCCTGGCTGCAGTAGGGTGACTTTTTTTCCATTTTAATTTGATTTTGGTGTTTTATTCTTATAGACATTTTAAACATAATTGGTTAATTTGCATTGATGTACATTCATTGTACATAGTACTGGATCACATAAGAATCACTTCATACAATAATATAATATACTTTGAGCAAATTCCTCCCATGCCATCTTCCCCATCCCTGCCTTAGTCCCTTTGTCCCCTAGACAGTGTTTTCTCTACTTTCATGTCACAACTATATACATGATTTTAATATCTACAGAAAACCTAAGAACTATAAATGAAAGAAAGTAGGTTATCTTTCTGAGGTTGGCTTAATTTGTTTAATATGCTCATCTCTACTTGCATTCATTTTTTGAAAATGATATATAATTTTATTCTTCTTTATTACTAAAAAATTCAAATGTATATTATATATTATATTTTCTATATCCATTCTTCAATTTTAAAAGAATCATTGTTTAAATGTTACTCCAGATTACATTCAGATCAATATTGAGTGCTTTATAATCTAAGTATTAAAAGAATCATTGTTTAAATGTTACTCCAGTTACATTCAGATCAATATTGAGTGCTTTATAATCTAAGTATTTCAACCTGATTTTCATTTCCCAAAGTAAAACTATATGTATTTACAAATCTGAGCCTGTGTAATGACAAGGAGATTTGGAAACATTTCAAGAATAAAATAATATTTTGTTGGGTGAGTTTGCATATGTTAAGAGGAGAAAGTGTGTGGGAATGAACCTTCTCTACATAAGCCTTGCGTGGAGGCTCAAGTCACATATATGGAGTGTTCTCTGACTAAAGACGGGTGCTTTCCTTGCCCCTTCAGAGGTCAAGTCCTAATCATGGAAGACAGGCAATACCAAAGGAAGGAATTCAGTAACTTCAGAATTATCTATTGTGAGGAAAGTCATATGAGGGCAGAGACAGGCACAGACATTAGCGTGGGAGTTGTCCACGGAGTCTTCTGGCCTGTTTGGTTGAGGAAGGCTTTCATCTAGGACAGGTGAGCCTGGAACTTGATACGTAGGTGAGGATGGTCTTGAACTCCTGGTCCTCCCTCCTTCTTTCAAGGCTGAGATTAGTGCTTGGATGTCACACCAGGCCTTTGGAGTGTTTGGTTTGTGGTAGGTTTTCACACAGCCCAGGATCCCCTTGAACTTGCACCTAAGGATAGCCTTGGGCTTCTGGCCCTCCTCTGCCTCCTAGGTGTTGGGTTTACAGTGGGCATTGCCACTGCAGGCTTTTTGATTGTTGTTGAAGGGGTGGTTTCTTTTCTTTGAAACTTCAAAAACTGGGGGGACTGGGGAGTAACCCAGAGTCCTGAAATGCTGGAAAATTACCCTTTGCAAGAAATTTTTCTGTAGGTTTACATTACTCAGAGAAAATATCTCCCCTTGCAAAATAAACTAAGCAAAACCGACCAGAACTTTTCTAAGTCCTTGTTGAAAAATATTGAGTTAGTCAGGAGGTCAAACAGGACAAAAACAACGTCCAGCACCCTCTCTTACGTAGAGTTCCTATTGCTGTGATAGACATCATGACCAAAAGGAACTTGGGAAAGAAAGTGTTTATCTGGTTGACACTTCCACATCGTAGTCCACCATCAAAGGAACCTGAGGCAGGAACTGAAAAAGCCACGGAGAAGCGCTGCTTTCTGGTTTGTTCACTCAGCCTGCTTTGTTACATACCCCAGGATCGCCTGCCCTGGGGTGACACTGGCTAGCAATGAGCTGGGAACTTCCACATTGACTATTGATCAAGAAAATGCCCCCCACCACATGCCCACAGGCCAATCTGGTAGAGGCATTTCTTTTGTCATTTGAAGTTTCTCTTTCCAAATGACTCCAGTTGTGTCAAGCTGACATAAAACTAACTAACACACCTTCCCAACAGACCCTTAATGGCTTTCATACCATCTGCAAGCCCGCTCTTAAAGCACCTCTACCAACTGGCATTTTCGAAACTATAGACATTGATTTCTTTTTTAGTTCTATTGCAGAGTGTCCCCTTAGTGTAGACTTGTATGGCTGGTTCTTGGTAAGTAGACTGCAGGTGACATTCAACTACCCTCAAGATCTCTCTAGTGTCAAAGGACATCTTTCCCTTGTAGTTACCAATTGACCTGAGAGTGCGACAGCGTCTTCTACCCAGTGGTTCTAAGAATTCATTTATGAATCGTTCCTAAATATATTACTTTAAGTGATTGAGAAAGAGTGATATTTCCATTTTTTGTTTGTATTATTTGCATATCTTGGATTAGACTTCTGTTCCCATCAAAGTTTTGCTTAAAACTTGTTTTGTGGCTGGGCGGTGGTGGCGCACCCCTTCAATCCCAGCACTAGGGAGGCAGAGCCAGGTGGATCTCTGTGAGTTCGAGGCCAGCCTGGTCTACAGAGTGAGATCCAGGACAAGCACTAAAACTACACGGAGAAACTCTGTCTTGAAAAACCTAAAAAACAAAAAAACAACCAAAAAACTTGAAAGGTTTATGGTATTATTCACAAAACCTTTCAACAGCACCTGTTTTATTCCAGGTATACTACTTACTCTGTTTTTCTTCTTCTCTCTCTCTCTCTCTCTCTCTCTCTCTCTCTCTCTCTCTCTCTCTCTCTCTCCCTCCCCTTCATCTTTGTGTGGGAATGCAATTGTACACCTGCCAGGGCACACATGTTGAGGTCAGAGGTCAGGCAAGTTCTCATCACCACTGTATATACCAGAATAGCTGGTCCTCCAGCTTGGGTGGATTCTCCTATCTGTGTCTTCTATCTCTCTGTAAGAACTCGGGGATTACAGACACACACTCTCCTGTAGCCAGATGATGGCCCATCTGTAGAAATTCTCAGGTTATGCCCGAAGGATATTGAGTGAGGTCTCCCTGGGACCAGGACCTATACTAAACTCTAGGAGGCTGCTACGCACTCCGACGCCAGGCAGCTTCCTGCTTCTGGTGGGAGAAGTGGTGTGATTTCGTGGCATGCAGGGTGTTGCAGGTTCCTGGGGTTTGTGACTCCTTGAGTCATCCCGGAACTCCTTGGAGCACCAGCCACAGAACCAGGCTGACAGTGGGGATTTCCAGCTCATGTTTTGCAATCGTAACCACTTGGTTTGTAACAGAGGCAATTCTGAGTCAGAGACTTCTGGAAGGCAGTGTTTTGGCGCCACTAGGATCTTTCTAGGTCAAGAGACTCCCGAACATTTCATTTTGGGGGGCTGCTGATGAAATGTAAAAATAGGATTAAAGCCTTGGTGATATGTTTTAAGTGTTTGATTTAAAAATGACAGTCAAGCTGGGCGGTGGTGGCGCACGCCTTTAATCCCAGCACTCGGGAGGCAGAGCCAGGCGGATCTCTGTGAGTTCGAGGCCAGCCTGGACTACCAAGTGAGTTCCAGGAAAGGCGCAAAGCTACACAGAGAAACCCTGTCTCGAAAAACCAAAAAAAAAAAAAAAAAAAAAATGACAGTCAAATGGTAATGAGCTCCTTGTTTTAAATATTTTTATTATTCTTTGGTAATTTTATACATGTATACAATGTATCTTGATCATAACTACCCCCTCCGACTGACTCAAGATACTCCCCCAATACATCACCCTCCCATCTTCAGGGCTTTTTTTTTTTTTTTTTTTTTAACTTACTGAGCCCGGTGAGTGCTGCCTGCTGGGATGTTGACTAAGCTTGTTGGCTTGATCTGGTGCAGGTGACCACAGCTTCAGTGAGGTCACGAATGCAATGGGCATGTCATGACCAGAAGACAGCGTTTTGCAGCACTCCTCCTCACCTCGAGCTCTTCATTCTTTCCTCCTCTCTCCCAGGATACTCTCTGAGCTGTTGGAGTGGATATAGATGCCCTGTTTAGGACTAAGCAATGAGCTTTTATTTCTTGACTTTCTGAAACGAGATGTGTGCTCTTATTTGGTGCCAACAATAAATCTAAACCTAACTCAGGCCCTTAAAGGATCCACCTTGGCTCTCATTCCCCAGCAATGCACAGATCAGGTGCCTCGGCCCTTGCTCACTCCACTCCTAGTCACCATATGTTTCATAGCTTGGAATGCAGAGGCTCAAACTCGGTGCCTTATGCATAAGAAAAAAGAACACTCACTGAGATAGATCTCCAACCCTATTTTTGGATTAAAACAAAACAAAACAAAACAAAAACCAAAAATACAATCTTGTGTTACTTTTACAGTAAGATAGTTTTTGAAATATTTTATTTATGTGAGTGTATTTGTTTGTAAGTGTGCAGATCCTCAAAGAGAGGCCAGAAGAGGCTGTCAGATCCCCTAGAGTTACAGGTGGTTGTGAATTGCTCCATGTAGGTGCTGGGAATCAAACTTGGTTCCTCTGGAAGACCTGCAAGTGTTCTTAACTGCTAGGTCATGTCTCCAGCTCCAAAAGATTATCTTTAAGTCATTTGTAATTAGCTGAGCCTCTAAAGGAATATCTAGCCTGTCCTCCAAAACATCAAGATAAAGGATGGTATTTCAATATATCTGTTATTGAGTCAACAGAAGGAATGGCTGGGAAGGTCATGGAAGATTTCTTATGTTGGTCTGGAGTTGAAAATAAGTGGGTCTCGTTGTGAGTCAAACTTTCACTCTCCTGCTCCCACAATATTTCTATCCTTTTATTTTTGTTTTGTTTTAGAGCAGGATCCTAAGTAGTCCAGGCCGGCCTTGAACTCACTAAGTAACCAAAATAAACTTAAACTTCTGATTTTCCTATCTTCTCCTCCCTCATGTGAGGATCACAGGGGTGTGCTGTAATGCCTGTTTGTCCACAGTATATTTAATTTTAAGAGACAAATCTGAGACATCGAGAGTAATCGTTCAAGTTTGAAGTGAGATTCTAGGTTTTGCTTGGTTGCTCTGTTGTGCCCAGAGTCTGGGCCCTCGTAGA